TCCCGCACACTCCGTTCAGAGGCCCTGAGGCGGTGGCCGCCAGAATCCCTCCCGCCAAAGACCAGCATGCCGCCGGCGCCCTCGCTGTAGGCCGCGGTGTGCGAGGACCGGGCGCTGGGCGGCGAGCCAGTTGGGGTCAGCTGGGACCACTTGTTGACCTCAGCAAATCAGGGTGTACCAGCTGCCCATGTCTTTGCCGCCCCAACGCTCACAACAATTTGATACATGTACGTCTCTCCCTGCGAAGCCTGAAACGTCTCTGGGGGTATGTCAGTGTTAGTCCAGGGCTAAGGCTCACTTGGCTCTGCCTACATGAAGCCTCTGCCGAAATCTACCTGCACGTGTCCCTGACACTCACGGAAATCTTGGATCTAACATCATGTAAACCACGTTTCTTGTGGATTCTGTGCCTGTCTCTGGGATAAATCTAGGTGCTGTACTGCTGTACCATCGATTGACTTGCAGCTGCTGTAGCTTTCTGGCTTTCTGCTTTCGGATGCTGTGATGAATGTGAATCCTTCACCAAACCCTTAAAAGATCACCTGAGAATCTCTGCTCTCCCCTGGCCTTGACCTCGTAGAGGTACAGGTCGTTCAAACGACCTCGCAGCACTCCGCCCTCCCCTTGGCTCCATACCCGTCTCCTCCCGCACACTCCGTTCAGAGGCCCCGAGGCCGCGGCCGCTATCACCGTAGCCTCCAAAGACCAGCATGCCGCCGGCGCCCTCGCTGTAGGCCGCGGTGTGCGAGGACCGGGCGCTGGGCGGCGAGCCAGTTGGGGTCAGCTGGGACCACTTGTTGGCCTCAGCAAATGGCGCAGAGGCTGCACGTGTCTCTTCCAGCCCCTCGACCTGATGAAAACTTGAACCCGGGACTGCATTTTTTTCTGGATAGTCGTGCTGAACTCTTTGAGTTTCGCGTTGGTTTCAAAAGAAGCCACGCGCAACATGCTGTGGCTCCGACTTCGTTGGACTGACCGCTACGGACAGTGGGACGGGTCGAGGTGCCGATGGATTGAGCCTCGCCCAAGCTTGCAGTTCAAGCAGTGCAGCCCCGGAATGCCTTCTTGTCTGCAAAAGGGCATGTTTTGTGTGAAGGACCACTACTAGCTATCTGAACACCGCCAATCATCAGGAGCATGGCCTCAAGGAGGGCTTCCCAAATGTAGCAACAACCTACACAACTACAAAATATCTACTCTACACGCCAAGCCCTGTTTTAATTATCCAGGTCCCCTACACTACCTTCTCTCCTCTGCCTTAGACTCAAGCTTTGAGGCCTCATCAGCATTTCGGAATCCTTCATCTGCCGCTCGCACCTGTGCTTGTCTGTGTTTGCATATGCCACCAACCCAACAAAAACTGGTACACCCCACATGTAATGGGATATATTGAGGTATACTGGGAAAGAATGAATGCATTCCCTTTTTCTTACAAGTGAAAAGCTCGTCTTTGTGGCAACCTTGTTCATTACATAGAGGGGATGCCTCATAAGGATCCTCGCATGAAAGCATGCCTGTGCCTTTTGCTTAGCCTTTCCACCTGGTGAGGCAATTCTTCTGAAAATGGTGAGGAAGCTAGCTGTGGCGTGGCTTTAAGTCATTTTCATGTAGGCTTCAAGCTTGAGACCGTTGAGGCCGAGACGGCCCTCTTTGGGGGGTAGGGCTTTTGCCCGTCCCAAGGCCCCCAATTAGTACCCTGCTACTGTCATATGATAATGCAGGGTCTCAATCTTGGGTTCCAAGTCCTTAAGCCTTAAGTAACGTATCCACATTTAAACATTCTTTCTCACCTACGTTTCCCAAATCCCCGAATTCCCGGCTAATTGGGCCGGGTTACTTGGGGGAGTTTTTCATCCGATCGTCCAGCCTCAGCTCCCACCGCTGCTACGCACAAAGCCACCAGGCGCAGCATTCTGATCTCCTGACAGAAGCTGTTCTTTAATGTCGCAGCAGCAGCACCAAGACCACCACTCCTCGCTACTTTGTTCGATATTTTGGGGAATGGATCATTCCATTCGGTTCGTTCCATGACTAGTATTGCTAACTCTTTAAAGCCAAATGGTATTGGTTATCTTTCTACTGCATCACATACATCGAATGTCTACTACCTGAAAAAGACATGTCTACTACCTACCTGAACAAGACATATTCCCTAATCCACAGCTGAATACCAGTCAGGTGTGAATTATCGCGCACATGCATCTTAACCGAAATAATACTGATCATTATTCGCCCTATCATTGCCTTTACTAGTAATGTCCTAATAATGTCTACTCAACTTAAGAAGCTTCTAACTAATAACAGGGAAGACTAATAAAGACAAACATCTAACTCTATCACCACGTCTTGAGAACTGAGTCTTTGTAGCAGGTGAGGGAGTGGATTCCTACAATGGCCCCGAAAAGCCATGGAATCGCTCCAGAATCTAGATTCCCTCACTCCCCATTACATTCCAAGGAGCTTGTTGCTTGTGCAGCTGGATAAAAGCGGTTGGCGCTTAGTCGTCCCATGTATCGAGTAGGGGGACCAATATAAACGTCTGTGTATGTCCTGCGGAAAAACCGCACTTTTCTGCTTCGTGGCTTGGGCGTTGTGCTGATGCAAAACAAGCCGTGCGCCTGCTCATTCCGCAGGAAGCCCGTAAACGCCACATCACTACAATCACTACTTAAGCTTACCGGAACTGCTTGGTAATGGTAATGCCTGGTCGAGTTCAAAGGGTCCTGTTCCGGCGCCTCTATGATGAATTTAAATACAAGGGGACCTTGATTTCGACCATTGCATCTGTACACCTTTCTCAACTAGCAGCTTCTTTATTCCTCAACTAGATCAACATTATGAGATGAGCGAGAGTGCTGTCTGGTGCGCTCCGCTTGAGCTTCTTATTCCTGATAGCTTTGCAAGTTCAGCTGTAGATGCTTTCACGGTCAGGGCTGCGCGTCTGGTAAGCCACAACGGCTACAAGAATAAGGTTGGCAGCTGCCGCGGGAACAAGATGAGAGAAACCTTCGTGTGCGAGTCAGAAATGCTTCAACTGCCGTCGCCCATGGATCCGGTACACTACTTGAGAAAAATCTGTAGTATATTATAGTATATTATTATCATATACTATTATGAGTATTAGTATTGTATATTATAATCTTAGTATATTACTACCATACATTTGAAGTCCGCAAATCTCCGAGCCGAGGAGCCATGCAAAATACTTGGCGTGAGACTCCCTTATCTTTGATCCGCATTCGAACGCGCAACGGCATGTTTTGTAGCTGGTTCCTTCACTGAAGGGTCTGAGACATAGGAAGCCAAGCCCCGAATTACTTTGAGTTCAGAGAGTCATAGGCTAAGTTGATTCTTGGATGTCCGGGACGGTGGTGCCCAAAGTTCTGCAAACAACATCAGGAAAGTCTTGAATTGGAGGGTCTCGAATTGAGAGTGCAGGACAAGGAATGGTCGCAATCAGGCAGTACTTCGCTTCATGGCTGTTAGGCTGAGCCGTTGGGCCTGCAATCTAGTAGGTGCTATGCAGTTTCGTTGTTGAGCGCTCGCCCTGCGATTGCATGTCCCTACGCCCCATATTGCAAGCCAAACCGTGAAAGCAACGATCACTCCGAATGGGACTGCCGCTATCATGGCCGCAATATGAAATGGACAGTCAACGTTTAGTTTTTTTGTGGATCATCAGAATACGCATGGATATATGTATATATATATATATGTTTGTATAATTCAATCTCAGGAAGCTTCACCTATAATCTATAAGAATGAGGTGTCGGTTTGAGAGCCAGCAAGCACGTGCACTTTCACCTGAATTTTGATTCGAACCAATCGTTGCCGCTCATCCATGCTCAATGCGGAATCTAAGCTACAACCCGAACCCAAACTCAAAGCTAAGGGAAAGTTCAATCAACTCCAATTCACATCACGGAATCTCTAAATCGCAGTCGCTGCCCTCAGCAAGCCGTAAGGTATGAGCTTGCCTCATGTGGCTGCCAGGTGAACTGAGGGCTTGTCAGGACATGATGTAGAACCCTGATACATGAACCACCCCCTCACTATAGTCGTCAGTATAAGTACGGGTCCTCATTGCTTTTTTGACCAGAAGCCTACTTTGAGGCCAAGGTTGGAACTTGAGCTGCATAGCATCATTGAAATTCTGAGTCCTTGCACAACAAACAAACTAACAGAACACAGGTCACGAACAATCACACCAAGATTAGGGTTCAGGGCTTTGGATCTTCTATAGCTCTTGATGCTCGTGGAAGACTACACGACATCCAACAAGACTGCTCAAAGCTGCCCTTACTTTCAGACGATACAGTCTCTGGCGAATCTACGCAGGTTGGGTTTCCTGCGTGAAAATCAAGCGCACATGGGATCTAAATGACAAGCCTAAGCCGCACAAAAACCAAAAAAAAAACGTCGGACAATGAACAAATCTTGGAAGACATGCGAAGCGAAGCGAGTGATGACATGCGCGTTGTGGAGACATTACGCAGGGCTGTTTGAGGGCACGGTGATCCGGCTGCCTATTCAGCGTCCGTCCAGCTTACCCGGAAGACCACAAGAAGTAGACCTTGCGCAAGAGCGTCATGCTGCTCTCGCGGAGCCCACGACCCTCACACATTAACCCTAAGCCCCTACCCAAAAGCTATTGTCCCGAAAGAACCTTGAGCCATGCTGAGCCCGCACGGCTTAACGTCCTGAAGCTATAAACCCTCAAGCCTAAAACTTACAACCTTCAATCCTTCTTAACCCTAAACCCTAAACCCTCTATGGAGGCCGGCCTGGGATCAGAACCAAGCCTGCCAGAAGCAGTGCTAGAACTGCAGCGGCTGCTAACCCAGGCGAGCTGGCAGGCTCGTCGTCCTAAACAAGGATGGAGGGCCACGGATCTAGGTAGCCTTAGGGCTGTCAAGTGACTGCCCTCACTTGTTCACTTTGGGAGTTGGGAATACGAAGTCATCCTTGCTAGTCAATTATTTGAAAGCTGGAACATTCTCCATCCTCAAGAGGGTGCGTGACCCAAGTTTTCAGGTGGCGGTTTGGGGCATAGCGATTAGGGTCTAGGATTGGGCTTTGGCCCGATGCTTGCGCTTGCGGTGTACGGTGTACGTTTTGAAAAGGTGTGCTGGGATGGGGAATTCTCAAAACGAGGGTGGCTCTGGGACTCTGGATTTTGGGGTCATTGCAAATCATAAGGGGGCTACATGTGTGGCCGTTTTGTCCTTTGAGGACTATCTTGGGTATAAGATTGGACTCCTTCGGGTAGCCCGGCCAGTTTGCAGAACCCTTCTCCCGAACCCTGACCCTCCCCGGTATAATTACTTACAGCAACATTCCTTGAAAGAGGTTGGGCCTCTCAGGGCTGAGGCAGAAATTGAGAAGAATCAACAAACTTGTGCTCCTTCACGGCCCACATCTAACAGTTGTTTCCGCAGTTGGTGGCTCGTTTGTCTTGCGGGTTCTTCGGTCTTGCAATTGCTTGTTCCTCTGCCTCCCACACAGGCGGCGAGACCAATGACCGAAAACCCCAACTCCGAAAAGTCAGCCTGCAGTCCCATTTCCAACCAGGAGCCTCAAAGACCTATCTTACTGGTGGTTAGTAGGGAATACAGGATTATGATCCCTATAACGGCTCAATATATCCCTTAATTAATCGCTACTAAACCCCAGTAAGAGATGACAATTTCCAATCCGACCAAACATGACGCGACCCAGCAACGAAGTCTTCGAGCGGCGGCAACGGCGTCTCCCTGCAGGGCAGCAAAGGGCAAGCTGGGGTCCTTATGTTTTCAGGGATCCCGCTCTAAGGGAGGGGGGGGTATGAAAGGACTGTCATACCACACCAGAGGCAATTATCCCCAAAGTGTATTTTCCCTACCTTCGCCTGCATACCCACATGAAGCCACTTGCAGAGTTTCTGGCCTCGTGGCGACCAGGAAGGATACGCCCCAGGCGAACAGCGCAGAGCTGCAGACGGCTGCATTGGCATTAGGTCCTGCTTGGTGTTTGGGGGGGTTGAAGCTTCAGCTTAGTACTATTCGGGAGTGGGAGGGGATGACTCTTGTCATGTTGCGATTGTGGCGAATCACTGCTTCGATATTCTCTGGCAAGCGTACCTCAAGTCATCAGTTCTTTGGCATGCTGCGACAATCTTAGCTTTCAAGCTATAGTACTATCATTCAGAGGGGTGATGACAACCAGCCCTCATTGACCGAGCCTTGATTCTGTTATTGTTTCGTTGTTCTTGTGATTTACGCCGTATGGGATGGACAAGAAAAAAAGGAGCAAATCAACATCTGTCGCACCTAGGGAAACCTTTGCTCTCAAAGGATGTAGGAGAGTGTATCCAAATTGCTGCTCTGAGCATTATGTGGCTTCAAATTTGGACGCCCGCTATCGATTTCCATCTTCTGCTTTCTAGGAGAAGTGGAAGAGTAGACTCGCCAGTCTCTGGAGCGGTAAGATAATCACGGCAGTGCAGAGCAGCTTGGAAACGCCTGATTCTGAAAACCTGACGAAACTTTCGTTTGCACTGCAAGAATATTTCAGGAAATGCTGTCCCCCTACCGGGATGAAATCGATTCATGTGTGGTATTGGAACTGTAACTGCTCATTCTAGAGGCCAAGAAACTCTTTGATTTGTCAATTCAGTATGAGATCCTACAGGCCGAGTCTCCCCAGTCTCACATCCCAGACGCTGGAAAGGCATACCTTTACTACACACCACCTATGCAAATGAAATAATATTCTTGACATGTAAACAGCTGGGATTGCAGTCATGTGAAAGAGCTGGATTCTGGGCATTTCTGGCATTTCTGCTACATAACTGGCAAGTTTGCCGTACGAATACACAGCTGGAATTCTACGGGCTTTTGCCTAAACCCTGAAGCCATAAACCCTGAACCCTAAACCGGCGAGCAATCGTAGGGGATTTTTGCCATGCCGGGGTCAGTGAGAAAGAAACGGTTAAGGATTTGCTGGGAATTTTGCCATGGAAACGGCTGAGGTTCCAGCTCTGGCACGCTAGAAATCAGAACAGCTAAAAACTAGGATGATGAGGCTTCTTGCCCATTGACCGCTGGCATAGAACGTCTCTTGCCGAATAAGACAGGCAGGATTAAAGGGATGCTTGTCATGTAAAATAGCTAGGCTTGCAGGTACTCTTGCAGTCAAACAGCTATGATGATGAAGACTCTTACCATGCTAACAGCCGTGGTATGGGACCGAATGGGCTCCACATCTGCGTTCTCTTTTTGCACTCTTCTCGTTTGCAGGCCTTTTCAAGTTAAGGAATGCTTTTGTTTAAACCTGCCATGGGGGGTTTTCTGCTCCTTGAGTGCTGTCATGATCATCAAGGTTATATTGGTGTTATACTAGGGGGTATCTTGGGATAATGGAAAATACAGTGGAAACTGCTACAATGGGTTATATAGGGACTACGATAAGGAATATATTGGTATCTACTCTAAGCCCGGCACGGTGCAGGGTCTAAGAGTCCTAAGCGATCGACAGAACCAAGCAGGAGCACAACGCCAGTGGCAAGCCTCAGCCGACTGGCCCTACCCAATCCTATTTGGCAGTTTGCCAAAACTAGGGGTCCCCTTTTCCAGACTACCTATATGTACCTGCTCAAAGCTGAAAAATCAGCAGCTTGCGAATTCGAAAGCCCGATTTTCGGAGGCACTGTGAAAACCCAGGTCATCTGCCAAAGTAACGGGTCTCAACCCGTAGAACCCCGCCAATTACCGGTAAGAAGGCTGTAAACCCTCCGTAAAAAACTTTAGGGCTTTAGGCGAAGTAATGAAGGATGGGTTTGTTTGAGTTTACGGCAAATCTTCAAAAGGCCTGCAAGGGCCGGTTGGCCACCACTTTCAACAGCAGTTGAGCCCCCTTGTTCACCCCTACATAATCCCCTTCAAGGAGCTTAGACTATAGCTCAGTTAGGGTAGGCATCTAGAATCGAGTCTCGTGTGCAAGTTGCGGGTTTAGGGGTATGGGAGCCTCCAACATCAAATCCTGGCGTCTTTTGCATTTTGCAGCTTATTTTACCTACCAGGGAATAAGGTTCAATCCATAAATAGCCCCTATACTAACCAAGATTATCAATCATTTCTTGGGTGCTCTCTGCCTCTGCCAAGGCCGCAGATCCTGAAGTGCAGTAAAAATACGAGCTTCCTGGCAGGAACTGCCCAACAAAATAAGATCCCCATATACCTATGGTTTTCCCAGAACATCTGGGTTCTCAGGTACCATATAGGGGCCTCTCAAAACCAGTGCTGCAAGGACCTTTCAAAACCAGTGCTGCAAGGACTAGTTTCGAGAAATTTCCATGCACTTGGGCCGGCACAGACCACAAAAAGCCTTTGAACTCGCACACCTTTGACAGCTCAACGTTGTGAGCGCCCAATCTGTCAAATCCTGACATGCAACTTACATGGTAATTCCTAAAAATGGGGTACAATAACCCTGAATAGGGCAACCACAAAAAGGACCATGTGAGATCCTACACCCTGACTCTGACATCTCTATACATCACTTAGGGCCCCTTTAAAGGACCCTAGCACGCCAAACAATGCTTGGCTTCTGGCTCAAGCAGTTGGATGGGCCGCGGACCAAAGAGGAATCTGGCAATGTGAAGTATGGAGCTTCAGGAGTTTAGAGCTTCAGCAGTTTCATCAGGGTGCTTGTTCTTCAGGGGCTTGAAAATCTGAAGGCTTTGAAGGAGTTTATTCATGGCGCTACTGTATCAGTGTTGCACAGGGCTTTGGATGATTGATGCCAATTCCACCTGGTTTGTGCTGCATTGCAAGGACTCCGCTTCACATCTAAGTCCAACCAGAAGCATGAAGTGAGGCCCACCTTAAAGCGAAACCGAGCACCATGAGCAAATCATCAGCAGGAATAAGCCCTCACTATACGACTGTAACTGGATACCTGCAGTACGGACTTTTGCCGGAGTTGAGCCTAGCCAAAGAAACCATACAGAAAAAATGTCAACCAAACCCTGCGTGGAGTGGTGCAAGGCAGGAATAATGATTGTTCATGAATACTTTCTACAAAGCTGATGGCTACACATCATCCAAACAGACTCTGGCCCAAGCCGCCATGTTTTGGGACCAGAAGAAGGCTAAAACCTGGGAGGGGGATGAACAACCGACCCTTCCCCCTAGACCCTAAACTCCCAATCCCGAAACCCCAAGCCACAAACCCTATAAACCAAGAAAATGAGAGCTGGAGGGACCTGGCCAGCAGATGCCCATCAAGTCCTCGAAGTGGCAAGAGCCGAACGGCCTGACCCCACAGTATATTATAGTACAGCTTCGTATTTTAGAGTGTCTGAATATATATATATGTATATTGTAGTATTTACAAAATATCAAAGCTGTCAGAAACTCTCATCATTGAGCCTTTTATGCTCCAACAGTCTACCGCCAAACTGCCCTTAAAAAGCTGCATTGCAACGAACACCAGCAAATCGACCCGACAAATTTGTCAGCCTCTCTTCTCTAGCCCAAAACTTCATTCAACCCAGCAGAAACGCTCTCACTAGCCTGCAGTGTGAGCGCCAAGCTACCACTGAAGAGTAGTGGATCCAACCTGCTTCCCCAGCTCCAAGTGATTGGTGCCCCCCCAGACTACCTAATGAATGTAACATCTGTTTGTCAGTATCGGATAAGGTATGCCAGAGAATGCGGCTGATACTTATCAGAATTATCAAAGAAGGAGCTCCGGGGAGACCCTGGCGCTAAAATGCCTGCGACCTAACGGCTTTAGAGCAGCAGGTTTTGGGGCGAATGAGCAGCATGCTTGCAAGATCGAAGGGGGTACAAGCGGATGCCCTTCCAACATCTACTGATCTGGACCTCAGCTCTACACGCCCCAAGACCCGTTTTGCATTCAGCCTCTACAGATTGCTGGGCAAGCAGTCCACGAAGTAGCATTCATCACTACTTCATCGAGGTTATGGCACCGTTTGCTGGTGCTGTGTTGACAACTACTTCAAGTGAAGCCCCATAACTAGCCGTAGCAGGTCCCAGCACAAAAAACCAAGACCATAAATCCAAGCCCTAAAACACTCAGTCCCTGGAGCCCTTTAACACCATGCACCCCCAAGCCAAGTAGCGATTGAGCCCCATGATCTATAAATCTCGAACTGTAATCCTTAAGCCTTAAGCTTACTCAAACCCCCAACCTCCAAACTTAAACCACGAAACTGCAAACCCTGGACTTCTAACTGTCAACTCTAAACTCCCAACCCTTGAACCCAGAGCTTTCCCCACAAGCAGCCGCGTGGCGGCACCAGCGCAGGCTGACTGGGCGCCGCCTCGCCACTACCGAGGCCCAGCACTGTCTGCGCGGCATCTGAGGGCTGCGCTCGGTTGGGGTTTTCTACGTGGCACTTAGGAAACCCTACTAAGGGTTAACCTATAACAGGAATATACGGGAATCCCAAAGGGTCAAGTCCCAAGGAGTTTAATGAGGGCTTAGGGGGTAATTCTGATGGTCGAAGTCCTTGTCAGCCTACGGTGTGCCCTACTCATAGGGCAACTTTGATGGGAATTATTCTCATTGTGCTGAAAGAGCCCGGGTGCCCGGGTGCGACTTGCCGACGGTTGGGGGGTCGAAAATCTAGGATGGGCGTTAGGCTCCATGTATTACGCACCAAGAGCCCTGACAATCCGAAGGGTCCCAAAATGACGGTGCCCCGAATGCAGGGGATACCTGTGGGACTAGGAGAAAAGAGGGGGGTCATGTCTGGCACATACCCACTCTTGGAAAATGGATCTAGGCGGAAGCCTGCAGGGAAGGAATCGCCCAGCAGCTGCGCCAGAAACAGAGGTAGGCGCGTCACCTGAGTCATCAGCTCGTTAGCGGAGAACTTGTATTCTTCGAGCGTTTTAACTGTTTACGGATTCACGCTACAATACGTTTCGTCATTTGGCAATGGACAAGCGTGGCTTTACAAAACCTCAACCCTAAACTAGGTGCGCATCTAAGCGACTGATTCAAGATGCAGACGATGAGCAGCAGACACGACAAAAAAAACACTCCTCTCCATGATTCTTTAGAAGAGCAACAATCCACACAGCAACATGGCACGACAAGCCAGGGAGAGATCAAAACGTGGTGTCCCTGCAAACATCATAGAACAAGTGCTGAAAGAACATTTTCTTTATGTGGGTACTTCACCAGTCCCTGCAGTTGGTGTCCTGCCTCAGCCTTCAGAAGGCCATCTGAGGAATCGCCCGAAATTATGCCAGCCACGCAAAGCCTCTTTGGCGTGATCTTGGTTTAATTTGGGCTTTGTCACTAGCTATTCCGGGCTTACGGTGCTTCATATCGTCAAGCCAAGGAATTGGAGACTGCAGATTGGGCGAGAACTGGCGAGGCCATTCCAGTGAGGGATCTAGTAGTGACTAAATTCGGGGATAACAGGCCTTTCCCCACCTCTTGTAATCCCTTGGCAGATATGCAGTTGGCAGTAGATCTAAGAGCTGCAATACTAGTGCTCGGAGGTCTTGGGGAAACTTGCCGACCACAGCTTCTCAGCAGGTCCTATAACATCGGAAATGATCCTACGGAATTGACAAGAAATTTGAAGCCGGCACAATGGTCTCTCATGAGGGCTGTAAGGGTACTGTGGAAGTCCATTCGCAATCCGTACGGATGTCTTGGGGAAGCTCCCGAATGAAACAAGTTTCAGGGGCTAAGCTAATCTGAGTGGGGGCATGCCGTTGCAGTTCCTGAGTTTATATAAGGGGCCTACATCATTTGATTTGCCAAAGAATGGCTCCGGAGACCAGTCCTCCGCTCTGTAGTGACGAGAACAAACTGTAAATCTTCAGAAGCAAGTCCAGGAAGTTAGATATTCAAATTACGAAGCACGAGTGTGATCTATGATAGTAAGTCTAGGGGGACTTGGGTTATAACCTACACCCTTAACCCTAAAACGCTAAACCCAACCCTAAAACCCAGGTTCTTTGGGATCCAATACCCCAATTAAAACATGTGAGCTATAGCCTAAGCTCCTAGTATAATCTAAACTCCTAGAATCCCCTTTTACTGCTCCCCCATATAACATCTTTAAGGAGCACATGGAGAAATCAAAGTCCAATATAGCCCCTACATGACCCCTGTATCCCCCTTGAACCCCTAGAACGTGTTTGTTTACCTACCCAGCCAAGAAACAGCAAGGCTGCGGCCAGACCGGCGTAAATGCCCCCTAAGGCCACCTGCAAACGCGCTTAAGGGCGGGTTTAAGGGTTTAGGGTTAGAGGGTTCAGGGGTGAAAGGGGTTTCGGGCTAAGGGGTTGAGGGATTCAGGGGCGCTCAGGGGGGTTCAGGGGGTTTTGGGGTTAAAGGGTCAAGGGGTTTTAGGTAAAGGCAAGGGCCATAAGTTGAACTGGATTGCTACTGCTCATGACCCCAAATAAAGATGTAAGGAGATGTACGGTTCTATTGGGGCATTCTGAGGGTAGATAGGGTTCAAGGTCTCAAAAATCAGGCCCCCTTTTGTGAGTCCCAAAAACAAGGACCCATAATGGGGCTCTGTACTTGTGAAAACCCTAAATGTTGAGATGGACTGGAAGGATTACGAAAGAAGACAGTTCCAGCGGCGCACCTTCCCTGTTGAGCTATCACCAGGCCCGCTTTTACTGCCATCCGTGGCTCTGCCAGCAATTACCACATGATTAGGCCCATCTTACACCATGATTCTCCCATCACCCTAAACCAGGAAACTTCGTGTACATCAAGCCTACCAAAAACAAGTCAACTCTCTAGCCTTTGCAAGGCAGAATATCCTGATCCGCCATCGCTTTTCAGCCATACCAGACAGATCATTGCCCCTATGCAGGGCATACCGTAGACCCTATCGTCCCCCTTGAGTAGATAGAATATGGGTTGGGTATATTAACATAAGATCCCCACATACCCCCATATTCCATCTACTTCAGCGGGACTATAACTAAACACTTTCTTGGCCTGGATCTGCACCTTGCGCGATGGCGCGAGCCTGGAGGTGCTTTTCATAGCAGACATGGGCGCGTGGGGCCACATGATAGGAAAGCCCAGACGCTTGTGTGACAAAAATGCCTGCGCGGCTTTTAGATACATCTGATGCAAACATGCGGTCTGCATCAGAAGTACATGCATCCCACAAGAAGCCTCCCCCGCTCTCAAGCTAGGCAAGCAGAAAGGCGTGCAATGCTGGAGTACTGGGTGGCCTCAAAACTGCTTAAGATGTATCATGTGGCTTGACAAAGTTTTTCATGGGTGATTATGAATACCCCGTCTCCTACCTGAGCAATGGCAACCTTCACTCTGGCGAGGAGGACTGCGCCAGGTGATCCCAGCCCCGCGCCGCAATTCCGCTTCAGGGTTGCCTATACAGTTACACAATCCGATGTTTCCACCTCAAACCTTCAGGACGTTCACGCGGAAATGCATGCAAAACCGCGGACATCCGCACCACCCCGGATGTGGTTACTGGACGATGTAGATCTCTGCCCTATCTCGGGGAGATCCGCACATGTGGAAACCCTAGCTCTCAAACAGGATAAGCCCCAACATATGTCAACACTTGGCCCAGGCCCCTTTCTCAATACACAAATACCCCACGGCAGAGATGAGAGCTCGGCCCTTTGATGGTCCATGTGCGCCCGACCTTGCTGTGACAAAGCGTCAGCTTTTCGAGCGGAGTAAATTAAGCACTTTCTCGGACCATTACTGCGCTGACGAAGCTCAGGCTTCCAGAAAGGTCTGATGCCACGAGTTGTCAACACTTCGGAAGAACAACTTTTTTCGGAGCCAAGGCTCGGTTCCCATGGCTGATGACGGAATGAAGTAGCCTCCTTGAACCTGGTCACAGGAGGCTTTAGGGTCGTCTGACACTTAGGTACCTTAATGAACGCAGGAGTGTAGGAACCAGAAGAAAAGTACTGAGGTAGCCTTTTGGAATTCGATAAGGATTCTTGGACGCCGATCTCAGGCAATAAACGTAGGTTTGCAAGTATCGCCTCTAGCATGTGCCCTGAGCTTGATTTGGGGGATCATTGCGGGCCATCAGGGTAGATGCAGGTATGTAGTAGGCACATGGGGACCCTGCCCAATTGAAAAATCAGGGGTCCATACTTTGAACCTAAGCTTCAGCATTCGAATCCTACAGTATTGTCACGTCCCAGAAGCTCTCGGACCTAAACATGCATGCTTTCTCTGCACCGCCACGCACATGCTGCTGACCCTCAACTCGTAACACTACACCAGACAGAAGCATCAAAGCTACCATGCTAGCAATACCAGTATTCCTGCTTGGTTATTGCTGAGAGCACCAGTTGCATATCGTGCTAGCGTGTAGAGCGTTTGCGTCGATGCGGCTAATAGAATTTCCCTACGGCGGTTTCCAAGAGTAACATGCTGTGGGTATTTAATGGGGACCCTAGTTTTTGGAAACCACGATTTGTAGTTTTTGTAATTCAGCCAACCTCCACCCCACATTGGTCGGCCACGATTCCTCGGCCAACCCCTTGGACGAAGAGCATGAACAGCCTGGGCGATCAGGAAGTGTATGGTAAAAAAAACATACTCAAGCTTTGGGGTTCTGGAGGCTGCCAAGCGAAGACCACCAAGATTTCATGAGGCAGCGTTTTTCCAATGACTTGTCCCTTGGAGTCCAGGTGCAAGCCGAGGCCAACTGGCGCAACGCCATCCGGGTCCAAGCGCGTGACCGCGACACCCAGAAGGGGGCTGTAGGTCACCTGTTGGATCATGTTCGCGAACCCTGCAAGAGGGCCCCTCCTGCCACGTTTCCCAAAACTCCTTTGACTCTTACTGGCTACTTGGATGGAAGAGGCTCTGGTTGTAGGCATTTAATGGATCATGCCCAGCACTGTTGCGCCCCTATTGGATAGTGTGATTTGTTTTCTTGCCGCCTAGTGACTGCTAAGGCAGACCTCTCATTAGAGGGCACACCCCTCTTGCCAGGATTCCAATTAACCATCCTCATGTAGGTGGGTCGGTAAACTGGGTTGATGTACTGGTTTGGCGGCCACCATTATACTTACAATTTTAGTCGCTTCAATCATCTTGCTTGGGGTTCGGGCGTGGGGCTTGATATATCTCCACGAAGCGTTTTTGGTTCCATAGAGGTATGGGGGGTTGTGAATGCCATGGTCGCTTTTTGAGCACACCAAAAAACAACATAGGAGGCTCTGGATAAGCTTGAACCCTGAAATCCTTTATTCTGAGTGGTGTGGAACCTTTGACATATGATCTCTGCAGAACCCTGACCAAATCCCGAACAACAAGTTTCCCTTGTGCCTGCCGCTGCCTGCCTGACCCGATGCCGAAACGGTCAGGTCCGAAAGCCCACAACACACTGCAATCCCTTACTTTTATCTGCTTGAATCGCTTTTGCACCTCCTCCACAGCACGGTTCACAAGCAATTCGCTACCTGAATCGGAGTTTTTGAGTTCCAGCTCTATTGCTGCAAGCTGTACCGGGAAAGGGACCGCTCCACGTATCCGTAGTATGGCCTGTCTGATTTCTGAGGGCCTACATGAATGACTTACCTTAAGAGGTTCTAGAGGTATGCTCTCGGCAGAGGTGCGCCCTTCGAGCGAATGGCATACATCAAGGAGTTTCGAAAGAAGGAAAACCTCCCTCAGAAGCTTCTTTCACTTGCCTGGAGTTCAGAGGAAGCGGTTATGCTGCAGTTCCCCTGACCAGGGAAAAACTTGGCGTACGCGTTCCAGGGGACCCTTCATGTTGTCTCAGGCTTGACTGCAGCGCTCCAAGCAGGGCAGCATTTCTCATCGCTTGCCAGAATAGTTCGAGATCTGGATTCTGTTGTAACGTAGGAATTACCAAACTTTCTACAGCAGCTGCGATTCCGCCGGGAAGCTTGCTAAGAACTAAGTTGGGATTGAGTGGAGCGCAAGCTCCTGATGGACCATCGCACATAATGCATGCAGCTTGACCCGTCGACAATGCAAACTCGTGATACTGGAGATGAACTAATGCTGAACAAGTTACCTAAAAGTAGCAAACAGTCGCACTGCATTGTACCCTTGACAGTGGCAGCCACATGGACACAAGCTCTTGTGGCAGATCCACTTTTGAATCTACAAGTCGCTGGGTAACTTACTTTCCAGCGAAACCCTTGACCCTGGTATGGAGGCCTGCATCGTTAAGGACAACTTGCTGGGTGACTGAAGCAGGGCAAACAACCAAACATGGAAGACTGCTAGCTCCTAGAACTTCTTCTTATCCAAGCCCTGAACTTCAGAAACTTCAAATTTTGATTTCTCAGGGTCTTGAATTGCTCGGCTTGCCAGTGCAGCAAAGGCTCCTTGGCCATTCAAAAAGCCGACAGCCGCAGAAACCTAAGCTGGATTCAGTGGCCTCCTTTGTAAACTCCCGCATAGGAGAATCCATGCAAAGTTGACTTGCTAACAAAGTCCGGGAGACCAATGCAATCATTTCTCAAGATGATTTCGTAAAAAGGCTGCTACGTGATGGCGCCTGTCATAGCAAGCCGCAAACCCAAAAATGCTCCCATGTGTGCCAGGAACGATGTTGCAGAAAACCACGGTCGTCACCAAGGATGCTCCGACGGCGAAACGCCTGACGCTCTAATTCCTAAACCCCTACAAAGGACTGGGCTTACAACCGGAAGTCACTTTTCCAAATGAGTGCCTCTACCATCCTTTCTGATGAATGGCAGCTGTAGCCTAGGGAGGCTTATGCTGCGACGCTGACAATCCGCCGCCAGTTGCAACGTCAGAGCTCTGGGAGACAGCTGTCTCAATTTGGCTTGTTTTGGGTGATCCATGCAACTTGGCAAAGATCAAGGGAAAGCGTTCTCTAGCAAAATAAGCCGCGAGAGGAACACCTTGTTGGCCTCAAAACTCATGCGCACAGTCCTCATCTGCAAGCCCAAAATTCCCAAATAATGAGCAGGAAGAAACCCCAAAAAGGAGCTAAGAAACTGCCAACGCTCATTTGAACCGCAGCAGGCTGGCAAAGGCCCCAAGCTGCTCATCATCACACCCTGTTTGTCATCGGCCGACCGCATGCCATTAGCCAGGGTAGTCTAATTAATCTCAATTCCCGATGTAAGGCCATTTTGGTACAATTCCGTATATAACCACCATTTAGGGTGAGGTCGGGTGAGGTCGCTTGAAATTGCTCGGTATTATTGCAGTGTGATTACGTAGCAAATCGCGTACATGAAGCTGGCAATTGCTTCAAAATTTACTTGTAGACCTCAAGCCCGAGCCCCTAAATTCTGTTCGAGCCTCCTGGAGAAGGTAGCAGTACTCAACAGGCAGCAGTTTCTCTTGAAGCCTCAAGCCGCTTGCAAAACACCCAAATCCCAAAGCACGGGTTCGCTTTACAATCCCAAGCCCTTTGAACCCTACAGTAAACACCTACAGCCCCTCAACTGCAAATCCCTGAAAACCCTAAACCCTACGCCCTTAAATCCCAAAATCCCTAAACCCCCAAATCCCTAAACCCCCAACCCTAAACCCCTAAACCCTAAACCCCTAAACCCTAAACCCCAAACCCAGCAAAGCCTGAAGCTGTCCTTGGTGGATGTCAATGGCAAATCTGACGTGCGGAACACCAGCAGCGCCGCTGGGAGCTCCTGTTGAACGTGTCTTTGAAGGCTTGTAAGGGATATGCAAGGCTAAAGTCCATAGAGCTCAGGGGATTGTTGGGCCTTACGGTTTCAAAAAATGTGGGTCCCTGTGTGTGTCCTGATCTGTAACCGAGCTGGCTGAGGGTTTTCGGGCAGCTTTGTGTTGGGGTGTCCCCTACGGTGTCATCTCTCCATATGCCAGCGGCTGAAACTGCAATCCGCGAAATCCCGTCCAGCCTGTAATGCTACCATTCCGAGAAACCTGCTGAGTCAGCATGATTTTGCCTTCTTTCTTCTCAAAGCTGAGGGAACCAAACAACCAAGATTACTTTCAGTAGCCTTTCGGTCAGGTGCCTGGCCTTGTCAGATGGACTCCACTTCACCGGGTCAAATTGACCTGCAAGGCAGTTTTGAGGACACTGTAGGATAGTCAGAAGAAGACCGTTGGGTTCGTTTGCGAGGTGTTTTGTCTCACAACATTTCACTGAAGCAGGGAAGGCAATCATAAGCACAGGCCCCAAATACAAAGACAAAACCTACATGAATAATGGGAAGGATGTGGAAAGAGCTACACGCAGATTCATGCTCCCAAATGCCGCCTGAAGTTGTCTCAAAGACTACTGTGAGTCATATGATCTGATCTTTGTCTGCATGCTCTCCGGGACTCCTCTCCATGGTTACTGGTATTGCTTCCACTGTTTGCACTGAGGCTCCCGTTTTCCTACGGATTTAGGTGCCCGTCTACTCAGATTCAAACACTCTATGTAAACCGTTCAAGCAGAATGACAAGAAGCATGCATGCGCGCAGTGAAGACCGTCAGACAGGAAACCTCAAGGGACATATGGGCGGTAGACGGGTATTATTTTAAGGGATCCGCAGAAGGTATACACGGCATGTGAAGGACTCCCCCCGGCCAACTCACCCCCTCCCCCGCAGGCAACGACCCATAGCCCCCAACCTGGCAAACCACAAACTCAAACTGAGAAGCGACACTGGCCTTTGGGCCAAAGGCTCAACCCAGGTGCCGGCGGGGGGCGTTCGCGCTGTAGAAAGACCTTGGGCCCACAAAAGGCTTCACCAACTTTGCAATGCAGGGAGGTTCCCTAGCCAAAGACTCCAGAAGAGTGCGCCTTTTTGTGGAAAAACTAACAAGTCCGTTCCGGCATTCGGACCTCGAGTTGCAG